TCCAATAATTCCAAGTCCATGCACTTTGACATAACACATTAAGACCCACTGTGCTACAACCCTTAGCTTTTCCTTGCATTTCATAACTTTTAGGTTAAAAAAAGGAACCGGAAAGGTAAATTCCCTATCTATTGCACAGGTTGCAAAAACAGTTGGATATTCTTCAGCCAAGAATAGCTGGACTCACACATCATGCAAAGCCATAACACAGTTTAGACAAAGCGCACGTTGTCAGCCCTCCAAGGTTGTCCAGATAGGAAACCAAAACCATGAGGACTAAGACGACCTTCATTGTAAGGTTGCAATAACAGAATCTTGCAAGTCTGAAAGCACATCCCCACTCCCCTGCCTTTACTTTCCAGACGACTAGGGCAGGTCCCTTCTGAGATGTGTTCTCCACCTCCAATCCCTCCTTTGGACTCAGATTTCGTTTATCAGACCATTGTCTAAGCTCTTCCTGTCTTTCAAGGTTATTCTCATAGCCCATTACACATGCTTTGACCCTAGAGCAATGTTTCTCAACCTCAGCAACTTTTAAGATGTGTGGACTTCAACTCCCAGAATTCCCCAGCCAGCATGCTAGCTGGGGAATTCTGGGAGTTGAAGTCCACACATCTTAAAAGTTGCTGAGGTTGAGAAACATTGCTCTAGGGTCAAAGCATGTGTAATGGGCAATTCTGGGAGTTGAAGTCCACACATCTTAAAGTTGCCAAGATTGAGAAACACTGCCATTAAAATATGGCATTGCAGTTCGGCAACATCAGACAAGCCTTATTAAAATTCGAGTTTCAGAGGCAGGATTACATTCGACAATTTTAGTAATCTGCCAGGTTCATCATCTTGTTCTATTTTTCCTTTTCTGGTTTGGTTTTTGTTGTTTGTTTCTTACTATATTGTTTTCATGTGGTTTGATATATTGTGAGGCGCCCAGAGTCGTTTGGAGTCAGGAGGCACCAAATTAAATACGATCTGAAGAGAAATAGGCAAAAAGTGTTATAGCAAGTGAGATATTTCTTTCCCACCTGGCTTATGGACTTCCCAAAAGCATCCAGCTAGAAATGTAGATGGTGGAGTTTAGTCCAATTCCATAAACCTCACTTTGCAGCCATGCCGTAGTGTGTTGTGTGACCCCCACAATATTGTTAAAATTGTGATTGCGACTGCACTGACTTGAGAAGCACTCTTTCAGCAATTGACAGAAGATGAGCAATGCTTGAAACAAGCAAGAAGATCCTTACATCTTCCAAATGTGCCGATAACCCTTGTATCAGCAGATGCTTGAGCACCTACAAGATCCATCCTCCGCTTATTTACAGCACAGAAACATGTTCACCCAGAGTTTTCCACCCAGTTTATATTTAGCTGCTTAATAAATCTGAGCAACCTTAAAGCATGAGCATAACTCAGCAAGACAAACATTGCTCCTTAATTAAGCAGGCCATTTTTTTAAAACCAGAAGGACATCCTTGGGCTACGTGCAAAGATTAAACGCCTGTCCACACAGCGCCTGTCCTCGCAAAGGAAGATCCAACTGTTATTGAGGGCACAAGGGTTTAAATCATGAAAAATAAACCATCTAATGGCCTGCATTCTACAGCAAGCAGAAAGTCAAGACACAGGCCGATTTGGATTAACACATTTCCAGTTATAACAAGTAATTTTACAGAGGATTAGTATCTTGATGGGCTGATCAATACGAGACTCTGCTGCCATTACAGATGAAGAGAAAATTACCCCTCTGGTAATAAAGGGTGTGTGTGTTAGTTCTCCTTCATTTACAAAGGCCATTATTGTAATGGTTCCAGCATTAACAGCTGGGGCAATTTGAACCAGCATCAGCGTGATGAATTTTAAAACAGAGAACATTTGCCACGCTCTCCATCTTACCTTTCATCTGCTGTCCCCCCTGAATCAGTGCATTGTTTCCAACCTATAGGTGATGCATTACACCCCACGTGTGCTATTTCTCAACAAGCTGTCTCCGTAATAGCACTGGGGGCCAACTGCATAGCATCCTGGCCCCTTCCGAGCAGACAATTTTCATTGGCAGAACTATCTATAAGTGTTTTATATGCACACACGCACACACACACGTATATATAGATATTAACAAAGAAGTCACATAGGTGTAAGAAGATAAAAAGGTATCACATACATTGAAAAGACTGAAAGGATTTGTCTTCTTATAGAACACTTTTAGGTATGATATTGGCTTATTATTTACTTATATATCAGATTTGTCACCACCCATCCCGTTGAAACGACTCTGGCTAAACATGACCCTATGGTTTGTCCAATAAACAGTCAGTCAGTCTGTCTGTCTGTCTATCGGCCTAGCCTTATGTCTGAACACAGAGAGCTATTTTTGTTCAACATAATGCTACACCACAGTGGGGTTTGTTTAATCTTGATTTGAGTGAATTCCCAAGGTCGGTCATGATATTCTTTCCTCCAATTTCATTTTCATTGTTGTGTTTTCATTGTTCCAATTTTCTCTACCCAAAGTTCTACATTTTTGTGGCTGTATTTAACAAGCAAGGTGTAATGGACAAAAGGAATAACCTTGAGGAACAGAAGGAACATCCCCTACCAAGACAATGGTCAGATAAAAGAAATCTGAGTCCAGGCCAGAACTGTAACATGCATAAATGTCTCAGACAAGACCCTCCCTAGTTCTCACGAAGATAAAGCAAGCAAGGGGAGATTCTGCAAGATTCTGTTACTTAGAATAAAAGTACTATTAGCACGCATGACTTTGGTTTCTTTTGGTTTCTAAAGCCACGATGAGGGTTCAATATGAATTAGCAAGTGGGATATAAGTTATGCCAATAAATATCACCAGCATAGTGATATTAGTCAACAAGTCATGATTAAACCAAACAATAACATAATGTTGCAATATGCAATTAAGTACAACACATTTGGTCTCTGAGTTATATTCCAGAGGCCGTCGTACAGAATGTAATAGATGAAGCCAGGACAAAACCTAAATTTGACTGGATTCATCTTTATGTGCAACTAACATCAAATAAAGTATAACAATAAATGAAATAGCATAAGTGAAATAAATACAATTGCACATAAAATTAAACGCAGCTAATATGATTATTCTTCAGGTGCACATTGAATAATTTGCCCCTTGAATCACATTAAAAAAGATATTCAGATGCTGTGATGTGTCTATACCTACAAAGATCAGAGTAGTGCAAGCAGTGGTATTCCCTGTAACACTATAGAAGTGAAAGTTGGACTTTAAAGAAGCAGGATAGAAACAGTATTGATGCTTTTGAAAGTTGGTGTTGGACAGCTAAGAAAACAAGCAAATAGACTGTCCAGCAAATCATCCCAAAGTTCTCACTCAAGGTACAAACAACGAGGCTCAAATGATTCTACTTTATACAAAGACCTAGCTCTCTGGAGAAGGTTCTAATGCTGGGAAACATGGAAGGAAAGATAAGAGGATGACCAACAGCAAGGTGGATGGACTCAGTTACAGGGACAATGGGTGGGTGCATTGTTGGAAGACTTGAAAGATCAGGTTAGGGACAGATTATCATGGAGAAAATCTATCTATGTGGTTGCTAAGAGTCAATGCTAACTTGATGACACATAATCAAAATCACATTAAAAATTAAAAGCTGGTAAGAACCTTTACAAGTTTCTGAAGACCACATTCAAATTTTGGGGGTCTATGGTCAACTCAGGGAGAAGATCACACATGTTTTGGTCTATGGTCCAAATAATTTTCCACCATCATGGACAAGGTCATAGGACCTGTATTCCATAGCAGTTGAAGGAGGCTATTTTGCCCGTTCTTTGCATGAACAGCCAAGTTAAAAAGTCTGGGATGCCCAATCTATTCTTAACACTAAGAGACCCTAATAACAACATAATGGATAAATAGATAAATAGGCTTTAAAGGCTTTGAACCAGTAAAAGAAGCCAATGTAGTTGGAAATCAAAGATAAAATACAGTCTGCAGATATTTCATTTTCTAATCACCTCAATTAACATTCTCCTCTTTTGTCTACTGAGAAATTGACTTTTTTCCCAGCCTTGTCTCCATGCACCAAAGAGAGGCACAGGGGTGAGGCCCTGACTTTGGGGGCTCTTGGAACCCTCTTCTCCTCCAAGGCCCTCCCCAAGTCATCATCAAATCCAACAAGGGGAGAACCTCATTCCTGAGGCAGAATACGTTCTCAGCCATGGCATACCACGGTTCCGATATTGTCCAAATAAACCTTTGGGGAAAAAGAAAGTTGACGATCCACCTACACATTTGCTCAGAAAGAACTAGGAAGCCACTTGGAAGACAACACTTATGCGCTATTCCACAGAGATGTGGAACCTGCAGCCCTCTGTAGAACTTCCAGAAGCTCCACCATTGACCATGCAAATTCTCAGTGCTCAACGACATCTAATAGGACGCAAATTCCTCTCCTCAAATTTGTAATGTCACATGGATTTAGCACCCCATCTGAAACTGTGATTTGCTTAAACCCTGTTTCTTGAACAATCTGAAGTTGGCAAAACAATGTCCTCTGTCCTCAACTCCTTCAGGATGAGGATGGTGATATCATTTTTACCACTGCTGTTATGGTGAATACCCACTTCCTGACTTGCTGGAGGCACCCCCAGTTCTAAAACCTTCCCGCTGCCACGGTCCATGAACCACCATCTTGCAAGGTAGACATCAACCTGCCCAAAGGCCCCCCTTGGGGGCGAGCTCCGGGGCCACCCGGGTCTTTGCATTTCTAGTCCAAGGCTTTAATCTCTGCATCTGAGGCTTCAACGCTCTGAGGATGCAGGAAGGCAGGCATCCTCTCCTCTCCTCTTCCCAACCATCTCCCTCGAGGGAGAGTTTTTGCAAACCCGAGATGTGCACGCCGAGTTTGCAAACTGAGTTTGGCTTGAATCAGCGCGACGCGCTGGAGGGAGGGGCGCACGTGCTGGGCATGCACGCGCGTGCATGCACGGGGCTGCTTTTCGCTAAGCGTTACCTTCGCATCCTTCTCTCCTTCCTCTGCCCGAGTCCTCTTCATGCCGCTCTTACGAGTTCTGCTGCTCTTGCTCACGTGCAAAACCAACCAACCAACCAAGGTACCCACCCTGACCTGTCAAGAAACACACGCTTCTCGCTTCCTTTCCCAGCAGAGCAGCCTCCCAGGATCCCGGAACCACAACTCCCGAGCTGCCCCGCGCGGCTTCCGCCGGCAGTGGAGTCCCGGAAACGCGGGCAGCGTAATTTGCGTCCCACGGCGGGGAAGCGAGGAGTCAGTTCCGGAGAAATACAACTCCCAGAAGGCACCGCAAGGGGGAAGCTACATCCCTTTGGAAGCTCGCCCTCGGGCGGAAGTGACCTCTGAGGTAGCAACCGAGGTGGTTGCTAACGGGGGAACGCGAGGAAGGAGCGGCGGGGGGGGGGGCGGAGGGGGAGGGGG